GGTCCTCTGAGCTCATCAACTTCATGAATAAAACAACTCATTGCCAATTCCAGAAATCCTTCAAGTAGACAGTGTTGAAATAAGCTTATACTCTCTGGAATCTTGCTGAAGGTAAGTTCTAAGAAAATGACAGCTAATTTTATTAACATTATATACCTATATAGAATATACATGAGTATATATATTCAGCATTATCTGGACATTATTGCTGGAGATTATTTTTATTGAAATCATCCCACTAACAATTGCCTTTCTCATTTCTGTTACAGTAGAAAATACCTCAAAAAGAATAAATAATTTTCTTTAACAAATGTAGCAGAGCTGGGTAGCTGTCCCTCAGGGTTAGGATATTCACTGAGCATGAGTGGGATTGTGGGCCGATCTCCAGTACAGTAACTAACACACAACACAAGAACGGTATGGAAATCACAGCCTGACATCACATCGAAAGGTCTCTTTTGATAAAGTGTTTCTTCGAAGCAGGTGTCATATAGAAAATATAAGAACAGTTTTAGCGTTCTCCATATGTATGAGCATACTGTTTACATAAACTTCCCTAATATTGATATTGAGATAAAAATTGCTTTTAGTATACTATTTAAAAACAGATAATTTAGAAAAATCTCATAGAATAGATATCAAAATCTCTTCTATAAACATTTGTGATGACCAGCATCAACACATATCCCGACAATCACTCATTCAAACACATCTAATCTCTATGTAGGGCATGCAATGAAAATATTTAAATGTGTTAGACCCTGTTGTGATCTATAAACAGCAATCACTCAAACACTTAAATATATCACATGCTTTTATATGTAAACCCTTTTCTTATATTTACTATTTCTAATCATTCATTCTATGAATCTATTAAGCATTCACAATGAAGTTAGCAGTAGTCTAGGAAATGAACACACAACAGAAAACAAAACAACTGTATTTATGTCTATTTCCTTTTATCTTGGGCATCCTCAGCACCTAGTAAATATTGTAACACATTGTTAGAAATAGTGTGATCAGACATAGGAATTGCAGATGTGCAATATTTCATATGTCAGGCAATGTTATTATGGTTGTTTCCATTCTTGATGTTTTCCTTATAGTAGCCAATCAATTGCAGTAAGAAAAAAGAAAGGAAGAAAGAAAGAAAGAAAGAAAGAAAGAAAGAAAGAAAGAAAGAAAGAAAGAAAGAAAGACAATATATACATTGCAACCTAGAATGAGGGTGGAGCAGAACGAGGAATGAAGGAGGCACACTGTATGGAGAAATAAACACATCCACCAGTCAAGCTTGTGTAAACATCAATGTCACTTTCTTCCCAAGGTCAGAACCTTGTTCTATCTTTTTCTCTTTTTTCTATCCTTGAACAGAGAGCAGTATTATGTGTTCTCATCATGTCAATGACTGGAAGCCCATGTCTTCATCTATGAATCAATATGACCATTTTTCTGCATGACTCCTCAGAGACCTTGAGAGAACAACTGCAGACTCTACTCACCAGCCTGATTATTGTGATTTAAATATTTTCCTTTTAGATTATGTAGATTTTTCTGGGTCTACTATAACAAAGTAACCAAAAGTGTATAATTTAAAATAAGAGAAATGTATCATTGCGGAATTATGAAGACAGAAGTCCAAGTCTATGCTACCTGAGCTTTCTATCCTTCTGAAGCACTAGGAAGACTATCTTTTCTTCATTTCTGCTGTTATGCTAGCATTCGTGAGCCATTCATTACTTAACTCCTGTCTTTGCATTTGTTATCACATGAAATCTCGTATATATATATATATGTCTTTAGCCATTTTTATTTAAAGGAAACAGTAATATTAGAGTGTGACATCATAATAGCTAATTACTTATGCTACAACCTAGTTCCAAATAAATTTACATTCTTCAGTACTTAATATAAGAAATTCAACTTATTTTATACATATTAATATAAAAATATATAATCAAAGGAAAAAACTAATTAGAAAAACATCAGTGTTCAACTATCAATTCATAGTGCATATTCAATAGAGACAAATATGTTATAGTTAATTAAAAATGTAAACAGAAAGCTCCAATAAAGAAACTTACTTGGGGATGAAGAATAGGATTATAATACAATATAGACCTTAATGGGTAGACAACTTGACCCTGATCTAGCAAAACATATACCTAAATTCTGGCCTATAGAATTTGTACATTAAGAGACCTCTATTAGTTCCAAGACACTCTGTTAAGGCAGTAACAAACAGTAAAAGTAACCTGTGTATGGCATGCTATATTCCTCTTTGAGGGAAAGGGTTTTCAACTCTGAGATAATCAGTCTATTGTTGTATATTAAACAAATAAAAACTGCAGGAGGAAAGGGTATATACAAGCTATCATCTTGTTGCTGTGATTAAAATTATTGACTAAAAGGGACTATATTAGTTACTTTTCTATTGCTGTACCACTATATATAGTGATACATATATATATAGTGTTTTATTATTATATATAAAACACTAGAACTAAGGCAACTTATAAAAGACTGTGTTTGGTTTACTGTTAGAGGGTTAGAATCCAAGATGGTTGAGTGAGATATGGTGGCAGGAATAACCGAGAGCTTAGGTCTTTAAGTTCAAACCACCACAGTGGCTTAAGAAAAAGTTTCTATTGGCTTAGAGTCCAGAAGGCTAAAAAATTCATACTGACAGGGGAGACATGCTGGCAGGCACCCAGTACAGGAAGCTAAAAGACCATCCCTCAACATATATTGGAAGCACTGCAAGTGTGGTAGAGTCATAAACTCTGAAAGCCTGCTCCCCTATGATGCTGCTCCCTGCTCCAAAAGTCTCCATGTCCTAACCAGGTCCATAACCTCCCAAATAGCACCGCCAACTAGGTACCAAGTGTCTAAATACATGAGCCAACAGGACACATTTCTCTTCAAATGGCAACAACCTGGTGGGCAGGGGTTAACTGTAATGACCAGTGCCTGCCACAAATGACTGATGCTCCTGATGTTGATACCATGGTTTGGGAATCTAATGGTCTTCTGCTGCTATGCTCTTGGTAACTGGGTTACTCCTATCTGAAATATTCCACCCGGATACTTCTTATCCTTCCATCAAATTACACTGTGATGCTCACATTAAAACAAGGCAAAACAAAATTCTCAAACTTCTGAAACTCCTCTTTTTTATACTCCTGCTTTTTATACTTCACATAACAAATTTAAAAACCACAAAAGTATATTATAATAGATATCCATTAGCCATAATTCAGATTTAAAATCATTTTATGTGATACTAGATAAATAGATAAATTGATGATGGACCATAGATAGACAGCTAGATAGACAGACAGACAGACAGATAGATAGACTGATATAGAATAGATAAAGCAGTTATGTAGCTAGAAACCCAAGCGTTTACACAAGTAAAAAGTCAAGTAGAAGTTTTTTTCCCTCAGCTAATTGACCTGTTTGTCAAATGGGGCTTCTTGATTTAAATCTAAGACAGACAGTGAAGCACATTTAAGAAGCCCCTGTGTTCATGAACTTTCTCAATACTAACAATAATCTCACTTTCAGGAGGAGTCATTAAGTCATATCAAATATGTAAGTGAGAGAAAAAACCAAAACAGGTTTTATAAGCCGAAAAGCAAAACATCCTCCATAGTTGTGGTTACTTTTTACGACTTAATGAAATGCAGAATCACCATGGAAACAGACTTCTAGGTATGTCCGTGAAAAAGTTTCTGACCTAATTAATTGAGATGAAAAGACCTGGCCTAACTATGGCCGTTACTATTCTATCCAGAGGGTTCAAGGCCGAATTAAAAACAAAAACAAAAACAAAACAAAACAAAAACAGAGAACATCTGTTTTCCTCTCTGCTTCCTGAACTGATGCAATATGAACAGTGGACTAACCTGTCCTGCCGCCACGACTCCGCACTGTAATGCACTATACTCCTGGACTTTGAGCCAAAATAAATCCTTCTGTCTTCTTCAAATTGTTTTGATAACGTATTTCATAGCAGCAAGGTAAAAAGTAATTAACATGATAGTCAACATAGGTGATAGGACCTGTCCAGGAAAACAATTCTGGCCAGATATAAAGTTTAATGTTTCATATTTGTTTGTAATAGTTTTAATTTGAATGTTGGTATTCGATGTAAAAATGTCTTGGATGAACCTTGCCATCTTGGGTGAACCTCATTCCCGAATCGCACGTGAATTAATTTACTGCCAAACACAATACTGGACCGTCAGTGCTTTTAAAATCTGCAGGGCTGTTCACAGTGCAAAGAGCAGGTACACCAGACAGGTCTGTGGTAGGACTGCATCACTGCTGAGCCCCTTCTAGAAATGCTATGAGGACTTTGCAGGGCTTATGAGAACTAGATCTAGAATCTTTCTTTCAAACAAAGGAATAAGCCTTAAAAGGGGGCGATACAAAAACAAACAAAAACAAACAGGCAATAAATAAATAAATAAATAAATAAAATAAAAAAAGAAAAAAGAAAAAACAAAACAAAACAAAACAAAGAATCCTCGTAAGTTTGAATCCCGCGCCAGCTTGGCAACGCAACCCACCTCAAATTCTTATTAGATATTATCCTCCTTCTTACTCCTGCAAGGAGTAAGAAGTGCAGAACTGTGCAGTGCAGAACTGTGCAGACAGTGCAGAACTGCAGCTCCCACAATACAACGCGGTGAGGCGGGGCTGCAGGGACTGTTTTTACGGCAAGTAGGGTCACGACATTTCGGGTTTGATGAATGACAAACTCTGGCCTTTGCCGGAGGCTGCTCCCCAACAAAATCTGGTTTGTCGGGCCTTCGTGCGTGGGGAGGCTGACTCTTCCCTCACTGGCCTGAGTGGAAGCCTCCCCGTGGCTTCATGGTAGATGGAGTCCCTGCTGTGGTAGCAGTCGTGGTTCCTCCGTCTGCTTGGATGTTGACGGACTACATTTCCCAGGAGGCTGAGGGACGGCCGGCTGCTAGGGGGCGGTGCCTCCCGTCGGTACAGTCATCCCTCTGCCCGTTCGGCGGGACTGATGGCCGGAGAGATGACGATCTTAGGTCAGTATCTCAGGGGTCCCTACTGCTGTGGCAGTCCTCCAGGCGGCTTGAGGAGGTCTGGGTGGGCAGGGGTTAGTTGTCTCGTCCCCTAGACCCAGGTCACGCCGCCGTAGGGAACCTGAGAAGGTGGCCGAGGCTGTCTGAAGCTGGTGGGGGCGGGGCGCCTGGAGCCGGGGTCCGGTGGTGGAGGCCTCTTGGGGTCCTGCCGTCAGCCACAGGTCTGAGGGACGCGGGCCTAGGAGTGCGCGTGTCTAAGAAAGACCTGGGTCTTGAAGCGGTAGATGAATTCGGTTCTCTGTGGCGATTGCAAGAACACACTGTGGTGTAATGGGGATCTCGCTGTGAAGACTCGGCTTCACATAGGATGGAGAATTGGGGGAAGGAGGGGGTTTCTGGTCCCTGTGTGTTTGTAGCAGGATTCTCTTCCGAACATACGGTTTGGGAATCCCATTCCCCTGCTAAATGGTGATAAAATGCTTTTAAGATGTGTCTGTAGGTTGGAAAAGACGAGTGGCTAGGCTCTTGATCGGCTGTGAGCCAGGCGTTGCTTTGAACGAGCTAGCCCTTATCGACAGCACTACAGCCTGACATTCTGGGTTTGCAGCGTGAGTCTGATTGGGAACAGTTTGAATACCACATACTAGTGAAACCAAGTGAGACGTTAATTTTAAATTCAGAGTGATGTCCTTATTCGCTTTTGTGTACAGTATGCATAACGTTTGTATTTGCTCTTTTTTCTTCAATTGATATTTGCTGAGGCACTTACTTGGACATACAGTGGTGAGCAAAACTTGTCTTCAGGAAGCTTCCATGTTGTTGCCATCACGCTTAGCACTTGAATACTTTTTCCGTAAATACTACCTCTCTGAGATGTGTGTCCTTAATTCCTGCTTAATATGCAAGAACACTCTGTTGTGAGGTAACAGTAATACCTAAACACTGTTCAATATCAGTGCTTGATATCTGAAATCCTATAAAGTAAAATACTTTATGATTTGTCTCAAGAGTGTTAGTAAGGAGATGTTGCTATAGAAACCGTATTTGGTAGTTTTATAAAGGTTTACTTTTTTTTACTTTTTTCAGGTTCAGCTGTTTTGACTCTCCTGTTGGCTGGCTACTTGGCACAACAGTATTTACCATTGCCTACGCCAAAAGTGATTGGCATTGACCTGGGTACCACCTATTGCTCTGTTGGTGTGTTTTTTCCTGGAACAGGAAAAGTTAAGGTGATTCCAGATGAAAATGGGCATATCAGCATACCCAGCATGGTGTCCTTCACTGATGGTGACGTATATGTGGGATATGAAAGCCTAGAGCTAGCAGATTCAAATCCTCAGAACACAATATATGATGCTAAAAGATTCATAGGTAAGATTTTCACCCCGGAAGAGTTGGAGGCTGAAACTGGCAGATACCCATTTAAGGTATGAAATCAATCTAAAATCTATATGTCAGTGTAACTTAATTGTACTGTTTCAATTAATGCGTTGGCTTCACATTACACATCATTGCATCTCAACTGCCTTTATCTGTAAGGGAGTTAGATTCTCTTAGACATTTCTCAGTGGCTGTTGGCGAATCAATTCAGTTACTGCCTGGACAAGAAGATGGAGCTTTGCTGTGTGCCTCCTCTGCCATCATCCCAATATCCAATTAGTTCTTCCAAGATATTTTAGGAAAGATGGTATATGCTCATGAACTGTGAATGGATAGTCTCTATGTACATATTTGTGTACAGGTAACATCTCGACAATCGGTGTCATGTGTCCTGGCTTATTTGAAGTGCACCAGAATGCCACGTGCATGTAGTAGATGCGCCTCACTGTCGTTAATGTCGGTGGAACTACTATTTTCTTACGTAATTGATCCGTCTCATTCATACCTCTTACCTAGCTTTGCTGGTTATCACTGATTTTCGACGTTCAGTATGTACTCTTATATATATCTTTGTGTATATCAGAAATTGCCTGCTTTGTAGAATTGATGAGTCGGATATAAATGTGTGTTTTTTAAGGAATTTTATTTATATTCCCAGATTGTAGCCCAGAAAGTTTGTATGCTCCTAACATTTTTAGAGTGTCTGTATCTTCAGTAGGCAGTGTGCTGTTGTTTACTTATTGAAGTAGGTCTTGCTTCAGAGGTCAGGCAGCCATTGAACCGGCAGACCTCAGCTTGTGGAGTGAGTCCTTAGATCACAGGCCTGTGCCACCGTGTCCCGTTTATGCCAGTGCACAAGTGAAAAATGGCATTTTATATTAAGTGTCACTCCTTTGCTTTCCACGAGTTATAGTTAGTGCTATTTTTCTTCCTTCAATTTTATTTGTTTGTTTCTTTTTTGTTTTTATTTTTGAGGCAGGATCTCAATTTGTAGACTTGTCTGGCCTAGCACTCAGACCTACCTGCCTCTAAATTTCTTCTTTGTCCTGTTTTCACGTTTCTGTTTTCCTTAACGACGATTTGTTACTTTTTTCACTTTATGATCTATGATGTATAATTCGTTGTTTTGTGTCAAAATATAAGGCATTCATGAAATCTCAATTTTAGAAGAATAGCTTTGATTTTTGTGATAATTGTTATGAACTGTCATCCTTTCCAACTGCTTTGATTTTTCTTTTGATCTTACATTTTAATGCTTTTATGTATTTATTTTTCGGTGGTTTCTCTTAAACATTTAATTTTTCTTTTGTTCATCCCATATGGAATTTTTCTTCTAAGTTATGAAATGGTCAAATGAATCTAAATGAATTAGACTCACTAGATAGCTATATGATTGCAGCTTATGGAATGTGCTGTTGCTTCCTTTGTGATTTTAAGTTCTGTAGTTTTATTTTTTTTTCCCCTGTGGTTTGAATTGTCTGTAATTAATAAAAAATAAATAAAAATAAATGCTCAAAGACAGACAAAAAATATGTGAAATGAAAAATCTCATAAAAAACCAGTATGTAAATTGTTTAAGAAGAGCATGAAGAAATTCTTCACTGTGTTTCTGAGTCTCACCCAGAGTGTGTACCATCCTGTTATTCCTTGTATACACTGTCTGGCCTTTCTCCACTTAGTGGTCATCCTGGTTGTCAGGAGTTGCAAGCATGGCAGTGCTTTTGTTGAGATGATTTTAGTAAGTAATGGCTCCAAAATGCAGTATTAGTGACCTGTGGATGTTGATGAGAAGTTTTAAAGTACATTGTCTAAGTGAAAAGGTATCCACTGAAGGTCTTAGAACTTACAGCTCCCAAAGAAAAGAATCTTCTGGGTTGGCTATCATTTATCATTAAATACTACAATATTCTAGTATACTAGAACCTAGAATAATCTAGGTTCTAGTTAAATTCCTGACTTATGTTTTGCTTTTCATGAAACTTATAACATGGATTTGTTTTATAAATTTTAAGTATTGCATCAGTAAGCTGTTATCTGGAAAAGGCCACTGGATAGATTATAGTGAGTTTTATTACTTTATAAAGCTATTTTGTTGAGTAAATGTGTACATGTGAAAGTTAATGCACATATGTGTATACGTATATATCTTTACATTCTTGTTCTTCAAATCTTATTCACAGGTTTTACACAGAAATGGGATGGCTGAGTTTTCTGTGACAAGTAACGAAACCATCATCGTTTCTCCCGAATATGTTGGCTCTCGGTTGTTGCTGAAACTAAAGGAAATGGCGGAGGAATACCTCGGAATGCCAGTTGCCAATGCTGTCATTTCTGTACCAGCAGAATTTGACCTACAGCAAAGAAATTCAACCATCCAAGCTGCCAACCTTGCCGGTAATAGAACCCTTGACTGATGTGCATTTTCTCAAGATTTTGTTAGGACAAAAATCTTTTGCAGTAAGAATTACCATTTTTTAAATCAACTAAGTATATATGGCCAATATATATATATATATATATGGCCAGTGAGTTTGCTTTCTGTTTATATAGCTTTTCGATACAATTTTGAACTCTGGTACAACATTAAATGTTTATGTTAGGGGAGAAAAAGCAGTCTGAGGCTGGAGATGTAGCTTTCTGGTAAATTACTTCTATACAGCAGGTGAGGCCCAACTTGGATTCAGTCTCCCAGGACACACACATCCTCAAAACATATTAAAAATAAGCTAATCAGGCATATGGCAAACACTGGGAGAGAACATGAGTCCCTCTGTACTTCTGGTGAAAGATACGATCTTTGTTGTTAAGGTGAATATAATGTTTCCAGAATATGCAAGTTGAATAGTGTAGCACTGTCCTGTAAATCGTGCTTTTGTGGTGCTTTTATTCAACTGGATGGAAGCATAGAATAAGCGTAACTTTTTATATGGGAGCTTCTTATACTTACCCTTACCTCTTCAGTAATATAGCTATATCCCTCTGCCAATGGGTGGCAAGCAACAGTGTCCTCGTTCATTCATTCCCATTCACTTCATGAGGATAAGTCAATTCTTGTTCAGAACTACTGGTACAGTCTTTATCAGAATGCAGCATGAGTGGAAGAATAAAGGGCCAGAGAATTGCCACAGTATAGGGGTGGCTTATAGAATGCCCAGGTATGCCTCATGGAGACAGTGACACTGAAGCCTGACTGTAGTACCTTGCATGTGACCAGAGCATAGTGATCAAGTTTTATAAATAAAGGGAAGGGCAATGTAATACTTGGAGATTTTTTCAGTTGTTAGTAAAGTGTTGAGATAGTAAACTTGGGCTTTTCTCTAGTTTTTTTGTTTGTTTGTTTGTTTTGTTTTGTTTTTTGTGTACTCTGTAAGAATACTTTTAGTTACATCAGTGAGAAGAACTTCTGTATTTCATATTAATGTATTTTTTTCCCACTGCTTTTGTCACTGTTAAAGAAGAAACAAACATGCTATTACAAGTCGAATAGAAAGTGTTTTCCTCTCCTGGGTCTTTCAGGACTGAAGATCTTAAGAGTGATAAATGAGCCGACAGCAGCAGCCATGGCCTATGGCCTCCACAAGGTTGATGTTTTCTACGTGTTGGTCATAGACTTGGGTGGAGGAACTCTTGATGTATCATTACTGAATAAACAAGGAGGGATGTTTCTAACACGAGCAATGTCTGGTAAGAAAAATACAGAATTAAAGACGTTCAAACATGTTTCCCTCAATAGGTCCAGCATGTAACGTTGGTATTGTTTTCGGAATATTTTATGATTTTCTATATACTGTTGCTTTTATCTGTCTATGTACAGAGGTACAAGTTAACTGTCAAAATGAAATGGCTGGACTTCTTAAAAGTCAGATGAGTAAGTTCCTTTAGGGCTTTCTTGGTGATGGTAAAGGAAGCATAAAGGAAGAAAACTTTAAAATGAAGAGTTTCAGATGTTTCATCTGTTTTATGCTTCATAAAGTAGATGTTTTAAGAAACGTAATTTAAGTATTACTGAAAAAATAAAAGCTTTAAATCTCTAAGATTTTTGTTTTATACCTTTTAGGTTAAAAATGTAAGGGTGCTTAGATTGAGCTGTATAGTTGTTCTAACATACTTACTTTTCACTTTCTTAACCAGATTCATTAGAGCCAAGATATGTTCTTTGAGTTTGTATTACATTATTCTTTCCTATAAAACCATTTCTATTAAGCTTTTAAATGTTAGCAATTAAATAAAATGTATATTTATTGGTAACTGAATCATAACACTTCTGTTGAGTATGATGAGTTAGTGTTTCAGATAGCTGCTTAAAAAGACAGTCTATGACTTCATTCTTCTGTGGTGTCAAAAGTTATTTCATGTCATTGAGATACTCCCATCTAGATCACTTAGAATTTCTAACCCTGCTAGGCACTGTTTATCAATAGTACACAATAGAAATACAAATGATAATACTTGCGGTAAATTGTTTCTAGACTCTGGAAGTAGATAACCATTAGCCCTGACCACTTAGATTAAAATGATTTTAACATGGCTCTTTTTACATTAATAGAGTTTTAATATATTGTAGGATTTGTTATTCTTAGACTGTGTTAGCATACAGAGTATATATTTATGTGCATATATGTATAACAAAGTTTGTAATTCTTTTAGGAAACAACAAGCTTGGAGGACAAGACTTCAATCAGAGGCTGCTTCAGTATTTATATAAACAGATTTATCAAACATATGGCTTTCTCCCTTCCAGGAAAGAGGAGATCCACAGATTAAGACAAGCTGTGGAAATGGTCAAATTAAATTTGACCCTTCATCAGTCTGCCCAGGTATCAGTTTTACTCACTGTCGAGGAAAAGGACAACCAGAAACCTCAGAATGGTGACTCTACGCTGCCAAAAGACCAGCTTACCCCAGGGGATGGTCACCATGGGAACAGAGTGTTTAGACCTGGCCTTTCTGAAAGCAAGAGTGGGAAAAATCAGGTTTTATTTGAGACGGAAATATCCCGAAAGCTCTTTGATACCCTCAATGAAGATCTCTTTCAGAAAATCCTCGTGCCCATTCAGCAAGTATTAAAAGAAGGCCACTTAGACAAGACTGAGATTGATGAGGTGGTCCTAGTTGGGGGCTCTACTCGTATTCCTCGGATCCGCCAGGTCATTCAAGAGTTCTTTGGAAAAGATCCCAACACATCCGTAGACCCTGACTTGGCAGTGGTGACAGGAGTGGCCATCCAAGCTGGGATTGATGGAGGCTCTTGGCCTCTCCAAGTTAGTGCTTTAGAAATTCCAAATAAGCATTTACAGAAAACCAATTTCAACTGAACTCTGAGGGAGTGCCTGTAACTGTGATCTTGTCTAGTGATTTTGTTGATCTCCATTGTAAAGCCTCCTCCAGAAAAGAAGTACATGAAGTCACTCACAGATTCCCCTGAGGACATTTATACAGGAAAATTTTACATAGTGTTTCATTTTAGAACTGAGTATGACCAGATGGATCCTGTTTGGGTTTGGGAAAGTCTCATAGTATTTCTAAAGTGGCAGAGTTGAGGTAGAACTCTGCTCTGACTTCTGAGAAGTGGGTAACCATCCGCACTTAGTATTCTGGAAACATTAAATAGTGCCAACTATAAGGCCCCAATTCTTACTGAATTTTATTAGTAGGGGCTGATAATTCTTGACTTGGGTATCACATTTAACTATTAATTTGGTCAATACTTGAAGGACTGTTGATGCCAGGTATTTACATTGCCTTGGAGATAGCAGTATTATCAGACTGCATACGTAGTATTCATAACTGCCATATAAATTGTACTTTCAGAAATCCACTCTTTTTACATCTTATATTCTACAGAGTTTAATATATTTAAAAGACCAGTTTTTCTTCCTAGGATAGCTAAAGATTTACTCAGATTTTTTCTGCCAAATAGTAAAAATGCCCAGTTTATACTGTAAGTTCTGTTATCTTCAGGGCACCATTCTCTGCTTGTATTTTCACAGTTCTGCTTGGTAAGAAAACAGTAGAAAGGTATCATTTACGCCTTCAGAATGTTAATGTCTCAATCAAGCTGCATTACTCAACAAGTATTTGCTGTCCAAGACCTTTGCATAGATGAAATATTTGTAGCAATTGTTTGGTTTCTGTTTTGTTTCCTTTTGTCCACGGGGCCAAACCTAGAAGTGCAAAGACTATAATCTAACTACTCTCGAAACTGAGGCAAGGGGCTCACAACACGTTCAAGGCCTGTCTGGGCTATCCAGGAAGTGCTAGGCCAGCCTAGGCAACCTAATGAAACTCTGTCCCTATCTCAAAATAAAAAGTAATGGGGCCTAGGGGATGAGGATAAGCCAGATGACCATAGGGACCAGTAATTTGACTTTATGATGGCCATGTTATTGGAAGATATATATCATTCTTTCTTTCTTTCTTTCTTTCTTTCTTTCTTTCTTTCTTTCTTTCTTTTTTTTTTTTGCTTTAATGAAGCATTCACATGCAAGAATTATATCTTGGCTGTCTTATTCATATAAAGTGTATCCTGTTTATCAGTGTATAACTAAGGAGAACTAAGAAAATTTCAGTAAGATCAAGCACTTCAGCTTCCCATAGTATAATGCTGAAAGGTATTAGTTTTTGCAGCTTTATTAAAAAAAAAAATGCTGAGTAGTGAAGTTGCTGTTAAATATCAATCATTTTCATGTACCGAAAGTGTGGGCATTACGTAGACAGAAAAACAAAACATTGTGCTTTGTTTTAGAACTAATGGAGAAATGCCAAAGACAAACCCTTCGCAGCATTCTAAAAATATTCAAGACTGTGAATCTTTGATTATTAGATTGAAAAATGTCTGTGAACATGTTTGAGACTTGAGTAGTCAAGTTACCCCACAGACTTCACATGTGCTTTCAGCTTTCACATAAGCAGTGTAGGGCTATAAACAGCAGACTTGAGCCTCTCGGATATTTGAAGGGACTCAAGACACTAACAGACCTTTCGCAAGAAGGAGCAGATAAATAATACTAAAATGGGAAGGTAAATGATTTTTGTGAAAAACAGCACAATAGTGTTGTGGGTAAGTAGGTAGCACACTCTTCTCTAGTATAGTTGCAATGTTGAAGAAATGAAGGGAATTGTCAATCACATGTTAGAGAGTTATACTAATCTTGATGTAGTTTATTTAAAAGGTACAAATGCATCCTGAAAGGGGCCATTTGTTAAAATCTGATATCATTTTTTCATAAAGTGAACTTTTAGTTGTACATTTGGCTAGGTTTTTTTTGAAGTATGTAACTTTAAAAATACTAAGTAATAAGTAATTTATTTTGTATCAATATTTTGGTACTAGGTTTTCACTCAAACCACTCAACAGATACCACTGTGTATAATATGAATCCAATATGACAGTTACTGTATACAACAGATTGTGCCTCTTAAATATGTGTGTACAGATAATTCATATTTTGCTGTAAACTCATTATTTTGCAGTTTTATTTTTAAATTGTTTACTTTATTTTCCACTAATGGCTAGGTTGAGGTATATTTTTAATGTATATAAATACAAAAGAAGATAGAGCTGCTGTGATGCTTTCAGACAACTCAGTAGCAAATGGTTTAATTGCAGAAATGTCACATATTCCTGCATCCTATCTGTCTCCTGAGATTTCTGCTGTATTTTCTGCAGTTTTAATTTAGAAGAGCTAGTTCTTATGTGAACAGTTTCCTTAGAACTTTGATTTAAAAGCCTTGGCTTCTAACTAGTGGAGTCAAATGCTGACTTGATCCACACAGCTAACAATCTTCGTACCATCAAACTGTAATCTTTCAGTTGACAGCTAATACTTCATAATTTTCTAATAAAGTTTGTGTTATTCTTTTGGACAAAAATTTGTTTCCTGTCTTAAGTTCATTTTAATATTTCTTATATATAACCCCCTTGCCACAGAATGGGAAGGAGCCAGAAGATCAAAACATATTGCCAGAATTAGTTTGAGGTCAGGTAGAGCAATTCAGTCAAATGCCAAGAGATGCTAATTTGAATCAGTTTGAAGAGGAGTTTAGGCCAGAACAGTTGAGTTGAACCAGCCAGCAAGAGTTCAGAAAGAGCTAGAAAGGCTTAGGATTGGCTCTCATCTCCTCTCTCATCTGAGGAAATTAAAACAATATTAAAAATGTTATAGTATTTCTCTGTAGAGGACTGTTAATTCAGAACATGGGTGTTCTGACAAGATATCACATTCAAAGACCTAGGTCTGTGTGACCCAGCTGGAATACAAACACCTTTAATCCAGGAGACAGAGTCAAGCAGTTCTGAGTTCAAGGCCAGCCTGGTATAGAGCAAGTTTCAGGTAAAGAAAAGTTTAGATCCAGGCATGGTAGAACATGTCTCTAATCCCAAACAATGAAGGTAAAATTAGATTGTAGAAGGGAGGACCCATGTTTGAAAGTGATGTCTAAATGAGTGGCAGAAAATGTGAGTCAGAGAAAGGTTTGACAGTACACACCCAACTCTCAGGAAAAGAAAAAGGAAACGGAAGCTACATAAGGGGCAACGCAGAGAGGAAAAGCAGCAGTTTTGCCCAGAGTAATAGACAGGTTGCAGAGAGAGAACTTTAGGTTAAAGGCAGAACAAGCCAGAGAGTGAGGAGAATCCAGAACATTAGAGCAGATTGCTGGAGTTAGGTTGAAGACAAGCAGAGCAATTCTGAGCTAAGAGAAGCCAGATTGAATAAGTCAGCTGGGGAGGAGTTTGAGCCAGAACTGCTGAATTGAACCAGCCAGCCCAGAGGTCAGTAAGACCAAAAAAAAAGGGTGTGCTTATTCATCATTAAATCTCAGAGGCTGAAAATGTTCTGGACATAGTTTGATTGTGTGGAGGCTAGGAGCTTCCAGGACAACGCCTAGGTTAGTAGACAGGCAGTAAGCCTCAGAGACATTTGAAACATGAAAATAAAAGTTGCATTACATTTCTCTTTGTCTAGCTTCATCTATTTCATTGTAGACCTGCAAAGGAATGATCACTAATGACCAAGTCACGCAGTCAATACTAGTATGTCTTGAAATCTCCTGTGCCAAAGATTTTAATTTAAAATTCTTCAATTTAGCCTCTAGCAGATTTTTTTGGACAAGGGTAAAAATGGAATGCTCTCTAATAGTCCCCTCTGACATCTTTTGAGATTGCCCTCCGCAGTCCACATTGTCCTCAGCACTGCTGTCCTCCAAGTTCATACTCATATGGCCCATTATGCCCCACTTATGACATTTAACCACTTTTCTAACCCAAAGCCCAAAGTCTACACTCTGCTACCAAGCAGCATGGTCAGTCAGGCCTGTTAGAGCAATATGCCACTCTGGTATCAATTTCTGTCTTGGTTACTGTCCTATTGCTGGGAAGAAACACACCATGAACAAGTTGGCTTAGAACAACAGCAACCAGCATATAATTGGGGCTTGCTTACAGTTTCAGAGAGTTGGTCTGTGATCTTCTTGATGGTGGAGTGTAGTGGCAGACAGGCAAGCAGGGAGCTGAGAGCTTACAACTATTTCACAAGATCGAGACACAGAGAAAGTGAAACTGGGCCTGGCATATGCCCTTGAAACCTCAATCCCTCTTCTCAATGACCCACCTCCTTCAGCAATGATCACACCTCCTTGTCCTTCCTAAACAGTTCCATCAACTTGGAAACAAACATTCAAACATATGGAAGCCATTCTTATTCAAAACCATCGCACTAAGTAATGTTTATAATGATAGTAGTTTCTTTAAGTACTAGAGGTCATCAATGAGAAAACAGATTGAAAAGTCTTCCTCTAATGTAGTATGCATGCTAATGAGGAGAAATAGATTGAGCCATGAACCATAAAACTAAACAGACTACTCGATAAGAATTAATATTTGGAAGACTAGAAACAGGAAGAATTAGTGAAAGGAGCCTTCTTTTCAGTAGGTTAGTAAATGCCTTGACATGGTAAAGGTATTTACTCTGGATTTTAGTAGGTGAAAAATTAACAAACTACCTGTACAAGGACTCAAAAGAGGAGCCTTCCTAGCAGACCAGCAGAGTATCAAGTGGAAGTGCACATAAGAGTGTGGTGTCTGAGGGGTGAGGCAAAGCCATTCATGGGAGAGTGATGGCCAGTGTCAATTGACAAGTCAGGTAAAGTGAAGGCTGAGCATAAAAACTTGTGAATTAGATAAGGTAAGGTCAGTAGAGTGGAAATATCAAGGATCAGAAGAGAGCCCAACAATGACTGAAGGAAAGGAATTAGGAAAAACAAATATTGACAATAATCTACAAAGTAAAAAAGAAAATGCAGTTCTACAGTATCTGAATAAATTTGCCTCTTCCACACCAATAATTTTCCATAATATGTATTCCTTGCCATTGATAACAGTCAAATGTAAACATACACACATTTTCCAAAACAAAACACCTCTTTTGTATGTAGTCAGATTTGAGTCTTGACAAATACTATTGCCAAAATTTGTACAGCCAATAGATTGAGATAGCTGAATATCAGACAGTGGAGAATACAAAGATGATCTGATTGGTCATGAAATCTGTACAAGTAGGAAAGGCCACACCAGAAAGAAGCTGTGGGGATATTTAAAATTCAAGTAGAAGCGAGAATATGGAAAGAATATTTTAGCATATTAACAGTCTGGAAAGAGCAAAGGGTAGAGATGTTTAAATGTAGGAAATGAAATAGGTTGTTAACAGAATAAGTTCTGAGAGAAGACAGAAAGAGATATAACCAAAAATATGTATATTTGGAAGAATGTGAAGGCAGTAAGGAAATAGGCAGGCAGGATAGAGTAGGAGGCAAAAAGATAAGATTCTGACAGAAAAGAGAATAACATCCCATCTGAGATAACTTTCCCACACAACATGTAGGACTGGTTTAGAAAACCAGGTCATCCAGCAAAGAGAGTCCTCTATCAAAATCAAGGCCCTTCTTTGGACAAGAAGAAACCTCCTTTGTGGTTTCTGACTATTTTGGTTGAACAATGCCGTCTGTTTGTACTATTTTCAGTCCAGAAGGAGGAAATGACACATGGGAAAGATTAAAAGAAAAAGGAGTCTGGGACCTAAAAAAAAGACCAGCTCAGAGACCGCATGGTGGTCCATGGGCCCTGGAGCCTCCACACTTCCTGACAGGGCATTTTCCTCTCATGGCATACTGCTATAATAAACACCTATTCTCACCTTTTCTGTATCTTTACTATTTTTGTCTTTGGGTGTTCATTTTTCTGTTTGACTCTGAGAAGAACCACATGGGAATCTGACATACATGGCAGGAGCAATCCCATTGCAGAAGTTTTAGGTTGTTTACCTAGAAGTAGCCATCTCTTCTTCAGACTACTATGCAAAAAAAAAAAAAAAAAAAAAAAAAAAAAAAGAGAAAAAGAAAAAGAAAACCAATCTCCATTGCGTTTGAGGAAAATACAGAACTCTAACTCACTTGTTCACCTGCTCTGTAGTTATTGGAACTTGGAAACAGAATTAACCTGTGAGCAAAAGATATAGGTAAATTAAATATTTTGTTCTGTCAATAGTCTCTTCGTCTTTCCTATTTGTGGTTAATTAAAACAATCAAAATATACTCATTACGTCTTCTGCTTCCAGTTCAGGAAGACATTAATGATTTACACCTGAAGCAGACTATGTAAGTAATGAATGTAATTAAAGTTGTACTGATTCTAAATAATTATGAGATGACTATATTAATTTTCTTAGTGTAACTCACATAAAATTGTAATTATAATGTATGTTTTATGCTACATCAGAACAGGGAAAGTCATAACTCATTGAAATATAATTTATTACATGTCCTAAATTAATAATTTTCAGTGATATGTTCATCTTTTAATTATTTTGGATTTCCTGACATTGAAATGCTAAATATATCAGAATATTAGAAATGTATATTTTGTTTAAAATTTATTTTCAACATGGCAATTCAAGATGTGAGACGATACTTAACCCTCCGTCATTTACTGGTTATCTAGAAATTCCTGGATGTGATAGAACATTTTATATCTGTAATCCCACAGTTGGTCACAGAGGCAGGAGACCGTACAATAATACTACTTAAAAAAATAAACTGCAGAAATGCTTATCCCTTCATCCATATTTTCAAAATCACACACTCCTTAAGTGGAAATTGCGTTTGTTTCTATTTCACACGCTTTCAGTATCGAAAAATTCACATATGCACATGGGTCTTTCCTTCTTTCTTAAATTTATGTTTATATTTGTTTGGTTTATCAAGACAAGGTTTCTCTGTGTAGCCTCCACTGTCATGGATTTGCTTTGTAGACCGGGTTAACCTACTCTACATTAGGACACATAATAAATTATATTAGAGAGTTCCACCTGCCTCTGCCTCTCTGAGTGCTGGGATTACAGGCATGCAAAACCAAGCCCAGGTACCTGTCTTTAAGTATATCAGATTTGTTAATAAATTGATACATACAAAAACATATAGAAAACTTAAGTATTATTATACCTTGTCAGCATTGTAATTCCTGTCTCTTCTAAATTTTAGTTAATTAAGATGAACAAAATAGCTTCTTTGGGTCTGTGGATTATAGTAAGATTATCCTGTGCTATAGGTCTAATATCTACTTATAACTGAGTACATATCATGTGCGTCTTTCTGGGTCTGAGTTATGTCACTCAGGATTATCTTCTCTAGTTCCATCAATTTGCCTGCACCTGCAAATTTCATGATTTCCTTGTTTTTAATTGCTGAATAGTATTTCATTGTACCACAATTTCTGTGGTACAATGCCTCCATTGAGGGGCATTTCCAGACTCTGGCTATTATGAATAAAGCTGCTATGAACATAGTTGAACAGCATGTGTTGTCACTTGAGTTTTTGA